CCATGGGAACAGGCGCCGCCCACCTGCGAGGTCATTCCAGTGGTGCCTCCCGGGGAACCCCCAAACCGCTTGAGGCAGAACTCACTAAAGGCAGACAGCATGAAGACAACAACAACCCTCGGAGTGTCCCCGTCTTTCACGGTTGCAGCTGGAGGCGCGGCGCCTGCGTGCATTACCGGATTAAGTCAATACCCGACCAAGGCTTGTTAAACATCTCTGCCTGTGTTCGTGCGCGCTGGTGTTACGTTTTGGCTGCTCGTGGCCACCTTGGCCCAAGGACGCCTGTGATGCAGTTTCTACGGCTGCCAAGTATAAGTGTGTGGGAACGGAATGTGAGGGGGCCCCTTGTTCGGGATTGCCACCTCATCTGCCGGCATCTTATTTATTTCTGCACTCAAACTTTTGTGATGAGCAAAATTAGCACTAGATATCGAAAGTAGTTCGTTATTTGAGTAGAAACTACTTGAAGAACGTAGTTTAATTAAACTACTAATTACCCAAATAAAGTTGTAATTTAAAGTTACCAAGTTACTCTGAAAAGTAGTTAAACTACAGAAGTTTGAGTAAAGTAGTTGAACTAGGTCCAAGTCTGGTACAAACTATATACGTATAGCTGTTTTAATACACTCCAATTTAATGATCAGCTTGCACTGTAGTCATAATTTAAGCTTTCTTACCGCTGTTTCTAGGTTTGTGAACCAAAAATGATTACATTTCACCAGTAAAATGTGATGTCGTATGCTAAATTAATTAGAAAACCGTGTCTGTGGTATCTTTCGTTTTTGGGAATAAACAGTATATGCCTCATTGCCGAATGAAGCCGGAACTTGCTCAGTTCGTTTACCAGCGAAAAGCTTTTTTTTTTTTTTTTTGCCGCTGCGCAGTAGGGCTCCCTCTCCTTTTCACGCGCTTGATGCAGCTCAGATGTGCTGAGAGTACCTATAGACATTCACTAGTTTTTCACTGTCGAATTATAGACAACTGTGCACTACAATCTCAACAGAGAAGCCGTTCGTCTTTACTTGCTTTCAAGGAAAAAAACATCATAAAAATCTGTGCTCGTTAAGCTGTAGATTGTTTTGTCATCAGCATCAGTAGTCAAGAATTTAGTGAATTCTGACTGAGTTACAGACACCCGATTATGGCAATTGTCGAGTCATTTGCGTTGCACTCCCACAATTCACATGAGAACTCGGTTAATAGTTTGCCACCATGTTCAGTTGTGACGGACTGTAAAGACAGGTTTTTGTAGGAATAAAACCCTGTGAAAATGTTTATTACTGAGATTAAATTAATATTTGCAAAGTCACTTACGACAATCCAAGGAAAGTGTAGCATCATAGCACATTGTTTTAATCTGTGAGTTAATATTATGAATATTCTAGAAGCGCAGAATATCTCCATTGAGATAACTTGTTAAATATGTCAAACGTTTATAATATAGAGCATTTGTTCATGAAAACTGACGCTAAATCGCAGGATTTCGTGATATGTTACAAAAAATTCGGATTCGAGAATTTGTTTTAAATGTGTTCGATTTCCCATTGTCATCTTCGCTTCACGTAGAACACATAAGGAGTCTTCATGTGTGGCCAACTGTACTTGCACTTTTCTTCTCTATTAAATTGATTCCTGAATTAGAGCCGTCTTTTTGGTTCACCGACGACAACAAGATCGACATGCGTATGAAAAAATGTAATACATTCAACACATCAACATATTATTCATAAATGAACTCATATCAATGTGGAGATTTTTAAAATTTTTCAAAACTAAGCTTTAGAATTTAAATTCTGGTGCATTCTATGGGCAAACCATTTCTGCATTGAATTCTAACTTTACCACGTCCGTCTGCTCACCATGCAACATCGCAAACACAAGCAGTTGAAAACACACAAAGGTCAACGATATTTTGTTTAATTGCCTTAGGTTTACAAGGGTTAGGACACCGCTTTGAAGTTCAAACTTCATAAATCTTTGGATTACTGTTAGAATGCTCATGTAAATCCTTGAATTGAATCAGTTCATAACAAGAAGCGTTTTTAATGACAGTGGGGCAAAAATTAGCACCGAATATTTAACCTTACTTTGAAGAAGCTGATGTCCGGTGGTAACTGGATGCTAGTAGTTTCAAAATGAATTGAGGCATGAGAATAAAGTATATTTTCCACTCACCGTCTTGAACCTCGGTTGCGTCTTGAGCTACATATGCCAATGAAAAATGCAATGCTGTGATCACAGCCAGAAGCCCGAAAAAGAGAGCCGCGGAAAATTTCATGCTCGCTCAGACCCTCGTAATATATGAGATCCGACATCATCCTCGCACCCGATATAAGGCTGCAGGTGCTGTCTCGTATTTTCAGAGGCCAATGTTCGTGCTGATATGTCTGTTAAAGGAGCAGCAGTACTTTATAACCCGTGCAAAAATAAACCTCTAAATAAAAATGATAGAAAATCCGGATCTGTAATAAGACCCCTTACGCTACCAGCTTCTAGTTCCAAAGCGAATATTCTTGCGACGTGGTTGTACTGTGACGCGTTACGTCGATTATTATTGTATGATATAGTGTTTCATTTTAATTATTATTTTTTTAAGAAGGTAAGAGTTTAGCGAGTGCCATTTTCACCATGTATTTATTAGGTTCGGCGGACATTAGATGAATGGATAATCGTGATCGTAGGTGTCAAATTAAGCAAGATTTATGAATCAACCTTTTAATTATCGAATTTAGGGGTCATGTTGCAATTGCAGTGTTAATGGCTACTGCTATTAGAGGCCAGACAATTTGAAATAATTTTTCCATACGTAATAGTTATTGAGATAGCAACATATTCATTTTTTGGTATTTTAGCTTGGTTTAAAAATCACGCGCAAGAAGAACGCCGCTCTGCCCAGTATGACCCTTGGAAAAGTGGCCTAGTCGATCGTTTCAGTCATGTGATTATGTCGGCAACTTGTCCTAGGAAAGTGCGCTGACGACATGAGTGATGACGTGACTGAAACGACGACGTCACTCTTACACGCGTCACTGGGGGCAGGGCTTGCGGCGATCTTTTCGCGCGCATTTTTGAACTTCCGTTAGAAAACGTAAACATTGATCAATTAATGTCTTAAAAAACTTACTTTTTGGCTAAATAGTTTTACCGGTCTGACCCCTAATAAAAATCGTATTAAATCAATCCCGTTGTGTAAAATTTTATTTTTATGAGAAATGTCTTAGAAAGGCATATGATAAATTCAGATGATGGAAGAATATATAAGAACCCTACAAGAGTATGTAAGAATATATAAGAAATTGATAACAAGTTTAGTATAACATACGATATAATAGTGTTCTTATATGTTTTATGAGCTTCATATACGTTTTATATATGATCTTATCTCATTATACGCGTTCATTGGACAGACATTTTTCTCATATAAATACGAGTTTTCATTAGGGACACCCTGTATATACGTGTTCTAATTGACGCGGCTGCATATGGTTTTATTTCTAAGTGCGTATGTATATTAGCTTTGAATTCCGGGCAAACTTTCAATCGCTAATTTACTCTTGTCGATCCAAAGAGTGTAACCAAGCTGCAACAATACTTAAAAAAAGAATCTAGCTGGTGGTGATTCATGGTAATAAAACCCGAGACTCAGGAAACACAGATTTTTGAGACGTTTTGTTGTGTTCGTCCCCTTCTGTGTTTCCTGAGTCTCGGGTTTTATGACCATGAGTGTAACCATTGTGTGTTTACTATAAATAAAGATATCAACTGTCAGGTTCCAACGTCTCTTATACACTTGATCTAAGACACCTGTAAATCATGTCCGCTCATTCTAACCGCCAGAGTCAACAACTCCTCAAGCTACTTCTTTTTTCTCCTCAGCTCGGCGGCTGTGCATGGCAAAGGTCGCCGAGTCTCGTCGGCCAAACCCATACCTTACGCAACATAACATTTTGCTTTTACTTCTCGACAAATAAATAAAAATTGACGTATACGGTAGATAATATGTCTAATTACAACTTTGTAAAATCATGACCGGTTTTGAAATACCGCGTCATCTGGATCGAAAGAAGTTGAAATTCGTTGAAACATCGAGAACCAGATTTCGTGACACCCGGAAGAGCACTTTTTCACACGTTCTCTGGCGTCTATCTATTAGCGAATGTACAGCGATCTCCAGAGCCACTGTATGCAGAGCCGTATATGCAATGGCACACTGTTTGCAAACGAGCCCGCCTTTGTCCCCACAAGGTGCGGGCATTGCGTGGGCGCAGAAAACATATTCGGTAAAAGTAGAGCATCTGCGCTTGTGCAGTGTCGACCACAACGCCACCGCAGTGGCCTTGAAGACTTAGGCTAGTTGACGCAAGTTACCGCCCTTGACAAAGTGCATGGCCATTAAAATCCATCCATCCATCCATAGACGCCAGAGAGTTGAGTTGGTACATAAAAATCCCCTGTTAGAAAAAAGGGGGGAACTGCAGGAGACCGGGTTAGAATTCTTCTGAAGAGATGGCGCCATTATGTACAATGCAATTCAATGCAAACGAATAATTAGCCGGCAGAAAAAACAAAGAATCAGACACCTACGTTTATTTTTTTATATTTTTTTTTATATATAAGACTGGTTTTTACAAACCAAACACGGTTCATACCCTTTAAAAAAAAGTCTGTGAGGTCACTTTTGTTTACGACACGGAGACATCCAATCACGGCGAACAATAGGAGCATACCTGCGAATGACAAAGATCGGAATACCGTTTGATATAATAAACGCAATTTGCGAAGGGGCGGAACTATAGATACTTTTGGGGAACATGCACGTTTAAACGCTGCTAACACTCTTATACAACATCCCGTGCGTTCGGGGGAAAGATAAACTGGCAGGTCTTTTTTTAATCTTTTTTCAGAGACTAAGTTTTAGAGTCGGCAAAGAATATCTGCGTTTCCAGCTCTGGAGAGCAGCAACAGCAGCAGCACGCTAGATGTAAGTAAAACATGCGAAGTATGCATAGCACGCTTTATTTCCACGGAGTGAAACCTTTTTTTACGTGTGCCTTTCAATTAAGTGCTTTGGTCTGAACCATCGCACACTTGATGTGGACAGCAGTGGGGGTAAACTCCGGGGCCAGGCACAAGGCGGCAGTTCTCTTCAACAGGCCGGCCAGCACATCTTGCGAAAAAAGAAGAAAAAAGTTTTGTTAGTAAGTTTTCCAAGAAGCACTGTAAACGTTTACATTATTCTTTTTACATGTTATTGTTACGATTAATCTTTTTAATCGTCTTAGAAGTACAGTAAAGTGGTTTGTGCTCTCAAATTTATAAACGAATTTTCGTGCAGCACTTAATTCATTTAGCGCTCACCATTATGCTTTCCGAGCTGAAATTGTTTTATCTTAGTTTTAATATTTTTTATCGACATAAAACCAAGAGAAGTACGATTAAGCACGTAATATAAGAAAAGCGCCACGTGGTCGTTTATTTATACATGTTTTTTGCAGTTCTCACGTTATTTTTTGAACGGGTCGGTCACATATGCAAAATGCAAATGAAAGGTACAGGTTCAGTATTTTAATAGCTCCATTTTCGTCAAATGGAGTGCAATATGTTTAGATTCTGAGTTTTAGATTACAGTAACAGAACAGCATGCTCTGATGTAAAACGAAAATGATTAGTGGCAAAAGTTTTTCATCTTAAAGTTCAAAAAGGTGTAGGAAACACACACACACACACACACTCAAAATGCGTGCATGGAGATAGCTTTTTTCCTCCCAGCGTTTTTAAGTGACTCTTTATTTCAAAATGTAGAGGGTAGGGTTCTCTTAAAGGTAAGCCGGCACGATTATATGCCAAAGATTTTTTTCTTACCCTGTTATCCTGACCCGAGAGTCTGACGCGCTGCACAACCAGATTTGACACGGGTGCTCGCTGTGGTATGCCTGACCGTCTTCTAGAGTGACATTTTCGTAGAGACATTTTCCTGTTGGACAAAGTGGCAATACATTTTAACCGTTGTATAAATATACTGCTACGCCAACTTTTTTTGTTTGTAGTGCTTCATTTTTAGGTGGAGTGACACTTGCTGAAAAAAACAACAACAGGGCCATGATAGTTACACAATAGCTTAAGATGCTTTCATTTAGCATATCAACATACATCCCTTCACGGTTACTGGTATTCTGGATGCCATTCTTCAAAACAGAAACGTATGTGTTACTGGTATTCTGGATGTAATCCTTCAAAGCAGAAACGTTCATGCTTTTTGAAACGCAATACAAACTTGAAGACAAAACGACCACATTCAAGCAGGGCAATAGTCTTTATTTAAAAAGTAATTGTCACAAAATTAATGTTTTATATATTTTGTTTGTTAATCATACAAACTTGATTATGCTGACATAGACCGGGAGCAAAAATGGGTGGAGGGAAAGCTCTCAGTTATACTGAATCAACAAAAAAACTCAAATGTGGATGCAGATACACACATAGTATATAATTATGTTGAAGACGTCACAGCTTCGTCGTCGTGAGCATGTAACTTTATCTAAAATCACGCGACGTTAATTTTTTTGTTAAATTTAGCGTGGAAATTGGCGTCAGGTGACTAGAAGTTACATCAGGTTATCACGTGACTTGACATCAATTTCTCCGTTAAATTTCATGAGGAAACTGACGTCAAAGCATCGTCGTTGGGAGTCTTAATATCATGGCATCACGTAGCGTCAATATCCCCGCTCAATGAGGCAGGAATATCAGTAGGAGTTGAATAAGTCACTATAAAGTTTTATGTGAACTTTGTCTGCAAGCGTTGTATAATCTTCATAGCAGGTGGCTGAAAAAATGTTAATAAATACAACGCATTAACCTTTTATGCCAACAGTCATGCACGAGTTCGATATGCTAGCCAAAAAAATGTTTGGTCCTGTTTTTCCTATGCAGGACACTGTTTAGAATAAAATAGACTCTAAAAAGTTTGGAGAGAAACAAACGCGGCGATATTGGCACCCTCAATAAAAATGTGTCTCACCCCGTAAAAAAGCGCTGATGTTTGTTTCCGGCCCAATTAATTACACTTACATAAATACTTTTGGGAGTTCGTGTCCGCAGCTATAACAAAACATGCTTATCTTCCGGGTCGACGAGCCGAAATAGAAGCATCTTTCAGAATTCCTTTTGACTCAAAATATATCTGACGAATTAAATATTGCACAAAACAATCTGTTCCAAGGGGTATTTTGTTTTGTGACATGCATATCCTGCTCTGGCACTCGTAAAAAAAATGTTTTTGAGGAGGGGGGGGGGGGGGCGAGTAATGGGGGGAGGGGCGTTTAAGGTTCTTTCAGGCATCAACCTAATGAACCAAATGCTCAAGGTTCCCGATAAGAAAGATGAGCAGTTTCCACTTACCATCTTGCACTGTTACAAATACCTCGCCAATATGGGCATTTGAGAGGTTCCAGACAGCTGCAAGAGCCAAGACACCGCACGAAAGTACTGCCGGGAATTGCATGTTGCCGACTGCCGCTCAAGAAAAGCGTTTAAGTTGTGGGACGCAGAAGTATTTCTGCACTTATAAGTGGAAAAACCCAAGGTCTTCGTTTCGAGCACTCGTCTTTCAGACAGACAGATTATCGGTTGCAAAATAGTCGTGTCATGTACGGAGGAAACGAAAAAAAAAAGATGCTACTTTCGAGGAAGTCCTTGGCATATGCTTATCAGAGAAAGGGTTGTTCTAGATTAGTAATTATTTGAAACAATTCGTAATCTTTTTTTTTAATATCAGGCTTTTTTCTTGTTTGTGTGTTATAGGAGTTTTATTGAATGCAGTTATACGCGAAAAGTATAAGGTGCGCACAGTGGATCTTACATTGGAAGCCGAGCAGTAAAAATTGGCGCCTCCACTGGAGCTTTAATGGAATATGCATCGAAGTGGTCAGCTTTACCCAATAAAATTGAAGGCGTGGTTGTCTTCTTGTAAAATAATAGACCAACAAACTTTTCAAGGTCAACGGCGGCCGTGTTCACAGACGGTCGAAATAGCGATGAATGTAGAAAAATGTAACTTCAAGCGCCATCTACTAAGAGCGGCAGCGACTAGATGACGCACTTTGCTTTCTGCTAGCAGCGCCTGGTTGGAGATGGCGCCACGAGTTACATAGATACATCTCTAATTTGATGGTGCGCGAACACGTTGGCGGCCGTTGACTTTGGCAAGTTCGTTGATTGAACTTTTCCCAAGCCAAACTGAATATCTCAATGCACGTTCGGTGGAGGTTCGAGCTTTCTATGTGCAGGCGCCGATTTTTCCTACTCGCTTTACAACGTAACGTTTACTGTGGGCACCCGCAGCATATAGTATTGTCACATTCAATTGGGGCGCACGCAGCACCGAGAAAATGCTGCTCCCAAGGCCGCGCGACCGCGCGGGTGCAGCGTATGATGCACTACCAAGTGAACACGAAGCATTCCGCCGTGCAACTCGCTTGGCGCGGTGACTTCAACGGCAAAACATAAACGGGTGGACCATTGAACAAAATCCGCCGCGAGTGGGGCGGCGGCGCGTGCCATCTAGCGAGAGTCTCCCGAGCCGCCATGTTTACCGAGACGAGGAAGACGAAGCCAGGGAAAGAAGGGGCCGAAGGAGGCGGAGAGCGGTAGCTCAAGGCCGCACCGGGCCGCAGTGCCTGAAGCTGCACGCTCTCCTTTCGACGGTGCAGCTGGTGCAGCAACGCGCCGGTGTCGTGCGCCGCACCAAGTCCCAAATGAACGTAGTGCAGCCGCACCGACACGACCATCTGAACGCGACGCGTCCGTCGGTGCAGTGCGGTGCGGTGTGGTGCGCCCCAATTGAATGTGACATATAATTGCACTGGAGCTTGTCTGTCCCTCAAGGGGGCGATTTTTTTTTTACTTGAATTTTGTCATTTATCATAAGAATGTGAATTACAGTTGTTCTCAAAATACTCAAAACTCTATTGGATGAAAAAAAACGCTACAAAGAAAACTAAAAATGTTTGATCATGACATGCATGTGTGCCACAAAATTCATGGGTTCAGTTGTTGCAGTAGTGCATTTATGTTTGAGTCTTTAGAAGGTCGCTGGTTTCCAACTTCTCGCTGCTCGTGAACATATCATATCACTAAGGCATATCATATTTTGCTGCGTTTCTCGGTGAACCTTCCGTAACCGAGCAGGGTATGATATGGCCTTTCATGGAAAAATCGACTCGACTTTCAAAAGCTGAGGAGTCTCGTTTTTATATTATTATTATTTTTTTTTGCAAAAAGCTAGCAAAGAATAGCACAAATAAAGACGTTATCTTGCCCTTTATATTTAGGGCCGTCGCAGATTACTACCAGTTCCGTTGAGCCAAACACAAAATCAGAAGTCATATTTGTCAAAAGTATTTGTGTGTGTGTGTGTGGAAAGGTATAAAAGCTTTAAAGGCTATAAATATTATAAAAATATATAGAACATATAAAAATATTTAGGAAAAGCGTTTTTTTTTTCACCCTTTTGTTTTATTGTGTCCTCCTGTCGTGGGTTTTTGTTTCTTTTGATGATTGTAGCGACGGCGATGGAGACGTGTTATATAAGGCGTGTACGAAATAAACCGTGTAGCTGCATGTGTTTGAGATGTTGCCGGTTCTTTTTTTGCCTTCTTTCGCGTTTTTCGTTTTCCTACCCCAGTCTCAGGTTTACCATTATGTTCATGATATATTTGTAATAGTTTTCGCAACTATAATCTACACTTCATGAGTGGTAACTGCCAATTTCATTTCATATTGAAACTCGATCAAATTTTAAGAAAAAATCAGCATATATATTCAGACTTTACCCGCGCACCTGCACAATAACAATAAACTTTTTTTTTTTTTTTTTTTAGAATATGCTAGTTTTGTTTTTCAAATTCCGCAAATACTGTCACGGAAAGGGGGGATGAGTGGCCGAGTGCGTTAGCACATCGCATCCCGGAGCACCATGGAGCGAAAGCTGGCGCTGCAGAACCCAGAAATCCTGTGCCCTATTCACGCCGGTACTCGTTTCGATTTGAATTAACACCGTGCCGGAGTGTGGTCGTCTATTACTACCACTTGATGCACATTAAAGACTCCAGGCTATACGGAGCGCAAGTTCGTCTGCTTCCTGCGCATGAGTTGCGGTGACGTCAGAAGGATTCCAAGGCTCTTATTGGCTGGTTGAGAAAAACAAATGGGTCAAGGCACCTAGCGTTGAGGTCTCCCCATTATCCTTCTAATCGTAGCCAATCAGAACTCGGCGTCGTTCTGACGTCACCACAACTTTTGCGCAAGTAGCAGACGACTTGCTCTCCGCATAGCAGGCGTACTGCACTGACAAAATTTGTCGTCTGCAGTGGTGACACCAAAGCCCCTTTGAGACTATATTTTCCACTATTATTAACGGAAAGTATGCTAGTGTGTGGCACGTGCTAGAAAGGGATAATTAAACGATGTCTTGGTAAACTGTATTTTTTATTAATTTTTATATTCGTACTGTTGCTTGAATTGCCTTTGATTCGACAAGTTTTAGATCGTATATTTAATTTCTTTTTTCCCCATTAGTCCCGAACGGGACCGACTGGAGCGCTGCGATCACTCGATGGGGTCATAGTTCCAAGTATCACCTGAAGGGCCCATGCATTTTCTACGCTTTGCCTTGCTTTGGTCGTGCGATTCAGCGCGTAGCAGCAGAAACACTTCGCCAAGTGTATTTTGTTTTTACTATCGCGCTAAACGTGCGTAGGACGAAACCTATGGAAACAAATCCGAATACGCCAAGCGAAACATTCGCAAGTTGTGTGCAAGTTATGATAGAGTCCTACGATAGCTTCACGGACGACAGCATTGCTCGGATACTTCGCCGCGTAGACCAACGAGGATACTCCTACCTGCTCTTTGCACGCTTCACAATTTCAAACAGCAAACGAAAGGAAATACGTACTCGAAATTACAATTCTCGGTGAAAGCCGTTTGAGGCACGTGTTCCGGAAGCAACGACAACAATCCAAACGACTTCAGCGGCAGCTCAAGACGGTGGAAAGGACTAGCAAGGCGGGTGGAAAAACTAAGAAGGGGCTCGTCTCTCGCTGCCTACGTCCAGCGGCCTCGTTGAATAGATGTGTATGTTCGCGCGACCCTATTGACAGCGAAGCTGTTTATGGCTAGGGTTCCGCAGATTTTTCGTGTGCGTCAACAAAAACTCAGGTCTCGAATGTGATGCAAAATCGCTTCATTCTATGCAAAAGCTTACACGTCTCACAACTTGGATGTGCATTTTCAGTAGATTAGTTATCAATAGGCACCATTTTCAATATCAATAAACTCTCAGGTAGATAATGAAAGCTTCTAAAAGATTTGCCGCTTTGCGACCCGCGTGGGCCATGTCTACGCTCGCACCGCTCTCTTTTTGTCGCCGCTCCAAGCGATTGCGTGTCTAGTTTCCTTTTCCTTCCGCTTTCCCGATCAAGACAATAAATTTGTTCGTACCCTTGTTCAAAACACCCTCTCACGTCTGTGTCCTGTTCTAAACAGCTTCGCTGGTCATCCACCTTTGCAAAGTGTACTCGCTCATGCTTTTTTTTAAACTTTTTTAAGTGAACTTATTTTATGAGTAGTTTGGACCATCACCTAGATCTTCCGGTTAGAAGCTGTATTATTTCTTCATTGTTTCCTTTTCATTTTCGGAGTGCTGTGCGGTGGTGGCGGCGGATGCTCTCGTCCCAGTGACACGCTCGTCAATTCTATTGGGTGCTCTCTTTGATATAGTAAAGATCAAATAAACACGCTATGCATTACCCTGGCATCATGTGGTACGTACAGTCTTTTTCAAATGTTTCGAGCCCACCGCGTGCGTGGCCAGAGCGGAATCGTTTCCGTGCAGCGGCGCCCTTATCGTCGGCACCCGCTGGCTGCGAGATTTTTTAGATTAAGGGGAACTTCGCTCTAGCGTCGCGCTCGCCTTGATAACAAAGTGGCGCAAAATAGCGAGAGCGAAGTTCCCCCTCGCCCTCAAAGATCTCGCAGCCCGCCAGCGCCGATGATAAGAGCTCCGCTGCACGGGAAGGAGCCCGCTGCGGCATGCTCGGTGGACTCTAAACCTTTGAAAAAGACTGTACACTTTATTTCTCCTGTGTCTCTCCGAAATCAGACAAACAAACTGCGAAAAAAAAGCGGCAATCGGAACGTGAAGTTTAACGCCTGCTCGGCCATCCTCGCGATTTGTCTTCTCTTCTCTCTTTCCTGCCCGTTTCTGACAGGATAAAAAAAAAAAAAAAGAAACAGAAAGCAAACTGGTTGTTTCAACCATTCCGTCCCAGAATCTACTTGTTTGGTCACTTGGCAAGCCTCCAAAGCTACGACGAAGACCGATTTGGTTGTGGTCGGTACGATAACAGGAAACTGGGTCACTGGGGTCTGTTCCGTAGGCTGCAACGCCATTGTTAATTGTTGCGCTGCATGAGCTTTATTATGACGAGAAGTACAACGAAATAATTAGGTCACGCGCCACCCCAAACTCTCGTTCAAACTAACGAATCAAACATGAACGAT